GAGAAAGAACAACAACAATTCAATCAAGAAAGTTTGATGAAAATATCCAAATACAAAGATGAAGTGTATACCGCTTCATGCCCTTTCCCAGTTTATGAAGAGCAAACATAGAGATATTTCATTCAAAAGGTAATCAAGCAATACGATGAACTTGAAGTGTACCTAGATGCACTACATGTTGAGGACTAGGTTCAAGGGGAAGGAAAAATAATTGCATCAAGAGAGGAGAAAATAGAGAAAGAACAACAATGGGGAGCCAATCAATTTCGTGGGATGAGACAGAGCTGTCTAACACATATTACAAAATGGAGGATGAAAGCGACCCTAGCAATCCTACATTTATTTTCATAACTAATGATGAGAGTTCTTCAAGTATCTTGACCAATGCCCATGGCTCATCCAAGATGCTGAGGTTGCTTCTTTTTTGGATAATCAAACAATACGGAATTCAACATTTATGTCGATCTAGTTATAATAAGTGCCCTTTACTAGAGGGGGGATAGTGAGGCACAAGAGTGTTCATAAATTTTCACGAATAAAAATTGTAAGGATAAAGCGAGGAATTAAAAGCGTAAGAAAAAAACACACTGATATACATTGGTTGACCACCACTTGTGGCTATGTTTAGTCTCCCGAGAGACTCTCTCTCGCTACAGTATTGTCGTTAAGCTTACATGTGCTTAACAAACCGTTGCAACCTGAGAACTCATTACATAAGATAGTGCTGAGAATGAATGAATGTCTGAAACACTACATTCTTTCTCCACTTCCAGATCCATTCATTCCACTCCCCATTGGTCAATGAAACAATGTATGAAAGCCAAACAAAGCAAATACTACTTGTTTGAACTAGAAGATATGCAAACATTGTAATCAAACATTTATTAACAAGAGTTCAACAATGATAGATAGGCCAGTGAAGATGCATGTGATGTTCTTCCAAGTTCAACAATCAACTTCGGCTGCTGCCGCTGCTGCATAGCTCACACTGCTGTCCCTCATGCTTCTGCACTGGCTGGACTGCTCGTAGCGAAGGAATTTAATATTTATCTTTGTCGAGCAGTTCTTTGCCATCTGTGTTGTTCAAATGCCAAGAGGGTTATTGTTCCTCACCAAATTGTCAAATACTCCGAACAAATAAATACTGTATTACATATGTGACAAGCAAAATCATCTTGGAAAGCCAACTTCCAAATCAAAATTCTCGGACCGGTATATTATACTCCGTAATATTCAACTTGTTTATTGAGAATAAATGAATCTGTGCGAATAAAAGAAAGGATGAGATATTTACATGAAGGAAAACACTGATTGGATGGCGTCCGCAAATGGTATTGTGAGTCTCTGACAAGTACTGTTTAAATGCATCTGGATCTCCTGTTTCTATGATATCCATACCCTTTTTATCCAATGCTTCAATTGACTTGTAAATTTCTCCATGTGTTTTGTCATAATGTGTGAAATTGAATCTAGCACACAGATGAGAGATGTGTAAAATACAGATATACATAACACATTCTTCATAGTAGTATTTATTCAAGTTCTCAGCAACGTAAATATATGAAACCAAAGCCTTTTAGATGTTAACACATGTCAATGGTCATGCAAGAGAAACAAATTTTGAGACAGCACAAATCTAACTTTTGTATTTAGTATTTACAGTGTCAAATAGAATAATAGACTAGCTGCCTGTAATGGATATCGATCAAAGAAAAACTACACAAATTCACTGCTATCAGATTAACATTTATTCCAACTGAAATACAGCAAGACAAGAATCAACAATAGAAGCCTACAACTGATAAAACATTATCAATTGAGCATACCGGGAACCCCAGTGACAAAAATCTGAAGATACTGAAAAGAAATTTCTTGGATCATCCACATATTTTGCCAGCAATCCTCCATACATAGCTTCAGTTTGAGAATTAAGAGAACCCACCAAAATAGGAACTACTTTCACTGCATACCTGTGAAAACAGTTCAACAATTCAGACTCCAACAACATCATGCAAGAACAAGGTTGAGTGTCTAAAATATACCCGTGAAAAATTTTAGCAAGATATGGGAGGTGCATTTCCATGCTATGCTCAGCCTCATCAATTCTGAGATCCATCAACTCAAACTTCCCTGACGCTTTTAGCTCCTCAGTGACTGTTAGAACATGCTGTCTATCAGTTTTTGTAAATAATTTGAAGACTTCCTTTGACGCGGACAAACCAATGAAGAGGATGAAACTAATGGTGATTCATTATATAACAAAACTAGAGCTGGCTTTATTCATAAATTACTCAAGGACATGATAGTGTTTCTCAATCACATAAAAATGGATTTTATATAGATTACCAAAACATTGAAGTAATGTTTTGCTAAGCATGTAAGCCAAGTCTAGCATATAAATGATGTGACCACTAGACGAGATGTTACTCAGGTGGCACCCCTTTAACTGGCAGATGTGACTGCCCAAAGGATCATAACAACAACAACCCAATAGAATCCCACGAACGTAGGGTCTAGGGAGGGTGTGTGTATGCAGACCTAACCCCTACTTGAAAGTAGAGAGGCTGTTTCCAATTGCTCAAAGGACCATGATATTGATAATTTGGAGTAAATGCAAAATGGCAATCATGGCTTGCTTGAAGGTGTGGGCCAAAGTAAGACACCTTAAAAGAAATTTACCTACTGTCCAGGAATTGGATAATAATGTTGAGCCTTCTGATTCTGATGTGGAAACCAAGTTGATTTCTAAAGGGGGTAGAAGAGGGGGTTCAACAAAGAGGTGATGGTTCAAAAAAATAACCATTATAAATGGCTTGTTCTGGAAAGAATTATGAGGGGGATGTTGATACTAACCACTGGTGTGCAGGAATGTGCTGCGGGCCTTTGGCCATGAGGAGGAGAATTATGTAGAGCTAGATGCTTTGCTTATGGTTAGACGCCGGAAAGGATCGTCAGACATAAAAATGGTGGTCTTTCGGTCCATTGATGGTGGTCCTTAGAACACGCCATCTAGCCATGATTGAGCTGCCCAACCAAAATAATGGCAACTATTTAACGGTCATCCTTTAGTCCATGGATGGTCATCCCCAAGCTTGCCAAATGACTAAAAAAATGATGCAGATTTAAACACCTAACTAGACTGCCATGGAGCATTAAAAATTACACAGTATAAAAAAACTTATATGCTCACTAACAAGAGAAACAAGAAAAAAGTTGCCCGCTGAGTTATTGCCATTACACCAAAGAAAACTTATATGCTCACTAACAAGTAAGGACTGTTCACTAACTTGAGAAAAGGGAATTGTAGGGTAGCTTGCGGGTTATAACCGAATAGTGGATCATGTGCACATTTGTAGGTCAGGTTGGTACCGCTGGTGAGTGTAGGACTTAGGGAGGAAGCCCCAAAGTCTGTTGTATTCCAGGATTTGAGGGGTTGCCCTTAAATCTGGCATGTTGTAAGATCTAAGGTGTTGCTGTTAAATCTGGAAAAAAATGATGTATGCCAAAAAGATGTGATGATATGCTAGAGATGAATTTCTGACTAGTGAATTACGTTGTGAACTGGAAATGTCATTTGTTATATGTGAAAACCATAGTGTAGTGTGATTTGAATTGACTAGAAAAAAGCTAAATGATGTGATGTGGTTTTACGAATGAACATTAACAGCGTGATAAGTATGTTATGTTAAGCGTCTAGTTGTTTAGGAATGGCTGCAGCACGAACAGATTTGAAGGTGACTGCCTGGAAGGACCATCGCAGACATGTTGTGATGATGCATTAAAGGTTTTAATATTGCATGTCAAGTTCTCTAAATGTTCTTAAATACAAAGTCAGTTATGATTTATTTTAAATTAATCAAATCCAGACTGAAACCAGTTGTGCTAATGCACAAGACTTGGTGAACTCGGATTATCCAGGTCGGGGATATGTTTTATAAATTATTCTTCTGACGTGATATTTGAACGAAGAACAAGATAATGATTTTAAAAAATTGCATTGCATCACAAATGACGATCGTGTCTCTACATCTATCTTGGGCAGGTAAATGTGGTAAGTGTGCCAATTACTGTTATATATGGTATTGTGATTTTTGTTGTTTGGTTAATTAAATAGTTGTGCTTGACCCTAGCAAGATGGAATAAGAAGTGATCCGTGGGAGTCGAGAATGGGCTCAAGCGAAGCCAGTTCGACTAGTAAAAAGACAAGACTAAAAAGATAGCATGTGGACTTGGATGCGATGTTCAAAATTGCATATTGCGGTTTTGAGGCATTTTCATTTAAGGTCATTGAGAGGCGTAAGCCTCAATTTTAAACTTTAAAGTTAAAAAATGAGCTTAGATCATTTATAAAAATGAATATAGAAAATTATTAATAATCATTAATAACATAGTTAATCCATAAACATTTAAAAAAAAGTATATTGGCACGACAAAAGATTGCAAACCAACAAAGTCTCCTAATCCCATATTCTCATCTTTGATTTTTTTGTTGCAAAAATTGCATTTCACAAATTTGTACTTCTTTAAATGTCCTCCTGGGTGTTGAGTATATCCCATATTTCCATCTTAGGACCACCATTAAAGCAATCTCTCATACGGTCTAACCAAAACCCAAACCTATAAATTTACGTACAAACTGATTGACAAATCAGTAACAATAAAAATTAAAAGCAATAAACTATTGACATTGCAAAAAAAAAAAACAAAGTAAAAGAATACAAATAATAAAAATAAATGCGATACACAAAAATAGAGGCGATAAACTAAATACTAGGCATTAAACTAAAGAGGCCATAAAGATAGAGTAAATAATAAACAGAACCTTAAAAAGATTACACCAAAAAAAAACTCACATGATAACAAAGATAAAGTACATGCAAGAGTAAAAAAGGAGTAAATAAACTTAAGGCCTGGATTCTATGAGAGGTGACCTGGAAGAGCGATTGATGCCAGACGAAGATAGATAAAATCAAAATAGGAGACACGTTCGACTGGGGTTAGGATGTATTCAGGAAATTTAATGCTTCATTGTGTACGCCTCAAAACTTGCGCCATCACGCCATAGCTGCACAATATCGGAGAAAGCCTTATTGCCTAAAGCTAGATCACGACAGAGCGTTATTTCACTAAAATAGACATGAGGCGCGCCATATGGCGGGTTACGCCATGCCTTTTCGAACATTGTTTGGACGACACCAGTCCAACAAGAGAACTAGGTGTAGGCTGAAGATAGCTCAACCAGAACCAACAGCAAAACCAAAAGTTCTGGTGACTGTTGGAGAAGTGCCAAAGGTGGAACGTAGGTCCCATTGTGAGATTTATAAAATGTATCATAGTGGTGAGTGCCGATGTTTGACTGGAGCATGTTCCCTGTGTGGGAATTGACTCACATCAAATGAGACTATCCCTTGAAGCCACAACGGGTTATAGGTACCGAGACACTTCAGAATCCAATGGCTATGAACCCAATAAACGGGTAAATAATATGGATGCCTGTAGGAGTATACGTTGGAGAGAAGACAAATCTTATAGAAGAAGCATTTCCATAAGATTCGTTTTTCTATGTTTTCGACATATAAATTGTACTATTTCAGAAATTGTTGTCACGAATAATATATTGTTTTTGAATTATTGCCATTTTGGATGTGCACCCTTTATTGGAGAGTGAAATAATTATCACCTTCGTAATATGGATAGAACTAATCGTAAAAAATTTCGGGAAGAAATTCTCTTATGGAATGTTCGGAAACTTGAATTTGGATTTCAAATCAAGATTTGATCCAAATTATTTGTTTGGGAATTCAAAGAATTTGAATTTGGATTTGGACCAAATTCTTCTAATTTATAACAAATTCAATTACAAATCCACACCTCTGCATTTAATTACAAATTTACAAATTAATTCCTATAGATATCAACCTGCTTCTGTCCTAGCCTTTACCAACTTCAAAATTCAAATTCTAGAATTGAAATTCTATTGTTTTCTAAACAACATTTGGAATTGGAAATCATGGGATTTCAGATATTGGAATCAAACTCGTATTCTAGTTCACACTTCACAGACATTACCTTATGGCTTGTTTGGATGGATTTGAGGCAAATTCTTCACATTCATAACAAAGCTCAATTAGAAAACCATATACCTCCCTTTGTCATTTGAAGTTCAAAAATTCAAATTTTTGAAATTTAAATGCAAGATTTGAAATGAAATGCTAGTTCCCAAACAATACCTTAGGGTGGAGAGAAATGTTAAGCAAAAAACCAGTCTAAACATTAGTAATTGATTTTAAATAATTAATTATTGATTTGTTATGACAAAAAATATATTATCTTAAAAATAAAACTTAAAGTTTATGTCTCACGTTTTTAATATCTAAGGAAACAAAAAAATTCATAAATGAATTTCAAAGAAGTGATGAGTTCAAAAAATGGAATTTTTCGATATACTTGTTCTTTTAATTATTTTTAAATGAAAAAGGAAACTTGGACCCAAATATTTCAGACCTCGACAAAGTCTTTAGATAAATCTTCTTCCTTACATTTCAAGGTACACACTTATTATTCATTATTGCTTAATCATTATCATTCATGCGTATATGTACCAAAAGGAGTGTTGGTTAGGGGGGACTGGGGAGAATCATCTTTTTCTTTCCCTTCCTCATTCCCAAACAAAAAACATCACAAAAGATAAATCGAGTTATTTTTCTTCATCAACTTCATAATATAATCATTGTTGGTTTTAGAGGTGAGTACATTTGTTAGACAATCATAGACATAGGAAACATATTACTCTCTCCGTCCTAAAATTATCTTCTCACTTTCTTTTTCGGACCGTCCTAAAATTATCTTCTCACTTTCCTAAAAAAGCAACTTTTCATTTGTTAAATGACTCAAATGCCCTTCAAATTAATTCTCCTATCCATCCACATACCAACCCCCACCAAAATCACACTCTCTCCTCTCTCTTCCCCCAACTTCCGCCACCATCACAAACCCCAGATCGGAGTCTCCATCCCAATCCGCCACCCTCTCGAGAACCTGGGACTCTCCACGATCTCCCTCTTAATTCCTTATGGATCCACCCCAGATTTTCTTCTTTTCTTATCGAAGGAGCCGATGACTCAGAAAACATCATCGAACAGAAAGTGAGATTCAATCTTAAGAAATCTACCCCAGCGAAGGAGCCGACGACTCAGAGAACATCATCGATCATCATCCAACCGCTGAGGGAATCTTAGCGATGCCGATGCGGATTATGGTTATGATGTAGGTGGCGACTAAGGTGGTGCCGACTATCTGTCTATACCAGCCATAGACCTATTAGATTGGGCATTTGGGCACGATCTTTAACATTCCTCCATTAAATACAATCTAAGGAATAAAAATTTGGGATGTTCTTTGCTTTCTTTTGATGTTTGTAATCTCTCCTGTACTCTTTTTTCCTCTCTTATCAATAAAATCTGCTCCCTTTCTATTAAAAAAATATAGGAAGCTTTGAGGAGAATGAGGTCCGTTATTTTTTGTTTTAATTGAGGGAATACCATGGGAGGAGAAAGATTTTGGTGTTAGGGACATTTTTGGAAAGTCAACCTAATCTTTACACTTCTTTAAAAATGAGCCCCGGTCAAATCGAGAAGTTAATATTAGGACGGAGGGAGTATATGTGTTGTGTGTGTATATGTGATTATGTGTTGTATGTGAACATCTCTGTATCTAACGTTAAAGCTATTTCTAAGAGGATGAAAGTTCAAATTGAAGCTAGATCCCAATCCATTTTGTCATTATGTGCTAACCAGGAGTCTAATCCATTCACACCCATAGTGGAGACAACAAAGCTGCTGACTTCATGACTAATCAGGGTTATACCACACACAAATCTGAGTTTTGGATATAGTTCTCAATGTTGATTTTAAGAATATGGTGCTTAAATATGTAATCCTATCTTAGAAAAAAGGTTTCCAAGCTTTTGGTATAGTATCTCACCTTGTGTAATCTTTCACCTGGTGGCAGTAAAATTTCCAGTTTTTGTTTTTTTTCTTCTAGAAAAGTTGAATTAAACAAAAGGCGACTAACTGCATTTGCTTACTTCAACATCCATGGTCAAAGGTAAAATTACTTTTTGCAGATATAAATAACGATAGAAACCATTGCATATTTTTTGCAACAATAAAAACCCAGTAACATCTAGGAAGGGTAAGTGTAAGCAGATGGCACACCTTACCTAGCGCAGAGGTTGCTTTCAAAAAGAACTCTGCTTGTGTGTGTGTGTGTGTGTGACAGAGACCTGAAATAGATTACCCTCTCTCAGATCTTCGACCTCTGAAATCTAGTATCTAGTGTCATGTCCTAGGTGATTTGTAGAAATACCTGCCCAAGTATGTATGTATACACACACACAGATACACACACACACACACAGATATATATATATATATATATATATATATATATATATATATATATCATGTGGGCACAAAAGTTGTAGAGTACCTTCCATATCAATAGGTAAATCTCCTATGGGAGTCCTGTAAACTGATGCTGTTGAAAGTGCGCATTTTGGAGTGTAATAGTGGTGTGATGGCCCAAGCAAGAAAACCCGAGAACTACAAATAAAAAGAATATTCATGTTAGAAGTGATGAATGCAAAAAAAAATGAATTACATATTTTCATGTTATATACTACCATGTATGGTGGCAAAAGGTGCATTTTACAATGAGGAACACAAAGGCCATAGAATAAGGAAGAAAAAGTGTACATGGTTGCTGGATCTATGTTCCCAAAAGCAAAAGCCGCTGCACGGCCTGAATATGAATAGCCTGCATGGCTGGTAGCCGGAGGCACCCAAAAGCATTATGTGAAAATGTCACAGTTAGTCAAAGATGAAGAAGAATAAGAGAGCAGGGTTATGACTTACGGGGCAATCACACCTCGTACATCAGATGACTTTGCCAAACCAGACTCCTTCAGCCACCCATCAAGCTCTTGTTCCAGTTTCTGGGCTATAAATTGATGCTATAAACCATTAGGGGAAAAAATGTTCTGCAACTATTCTTAAAAAAATAGCCATGTATTTGCAATTACAATGCAAACGCAAGATTCATAATCACTTCTCCAATAAATGAAATTTCATTAAATTGAAATGATTACTACAATGTCTTCACATCCCAACCAGCTTTCTATCTGCTCACAGAAAGGATAGTGACAAATCAAGAAATTAAGGAATAATATATCCATATTGACATATTGCTATCCTATCCAATGTGTTTACATTCAACATGACAACATGTCTACAGAAAATGCACAATACCATCAACAACAACCCAGTAAAATCTCCTAGTGGAGTAGGGAGGGTTGGTGTAGGCAGACATTGCCCCTACTTAAAAGGCAGACAGACAGTTTCTGAATTCTGAGAGGGCATGCATCAAAGAAGAGGAGATGTGCAATGGCATATTTCCTATTATTAAGAAAGAAGGCATAAATTCAAGGGAATCCCACTCCTCATTTAGTTGAATCTCATGTTTTACCCTCAAACATGAAGCTGTTAAACCAACAAATATAATCCATAATATAAAATCCAATAAAAACATTGCCAATGATTCAAAAAGAAAAATATCTTAATGGAAAAGGAATTTAAAAAAAGGATCTATACAAGGAGCCGAACTGCACTTTTATGAACACTGTCCACGACTTAATACTCAAAACCCCATAGAATCCGAACAGTATTAACAAAAAAGAAAAGAAAAGAAAAAAGTATAGAGGAAAATCAATCAGTTATAAGGAGTACAAAATAGCATGAAACAAATCGTTAAAAAACAACAATTATAACAAAAAGAAATTATCAAAAAAAGTAAGTTATATGGCTTACGATTATCAGTGTACCATGAACCAGCATGGGATGGTCTCCTGATTTTCTCCATTTTCAGATGAAGAAACGCCCCAACAGTTCGGACTTTCTCTTTCAACAATGCCTGTGGGGGAGATTTGTGAAAACTGAATGCTTGCGGATTTTGGGGTTTTCTTTTACGAGAACTAAGCCAGTAGAGTTGGTTTCATTTTGAATTAAGAATAATAATTTCTAATTAACAAAAGGAAAAATTATTCATAAAAATCTTACATTTTCCCGTTCTTTCAAAAATAATTTAATCTTTTTGAGTGACCAATAACAAGCCAAGATTGTACACTTACTACACGGTTTGGGCATCCGCTTATATCCTAAGGATTCACTAACGAGATTCTTGTTATGATTAAAACGTGCATATTACGTGTATTACCGAGTAAACATATCTCACCCTTCTCCTTCTCAGTCGAACTTCTGATTACGCTAAGCATATCTCACCCTTCAAAATCAAAATTAAAACCCCCTAATTGGAAGCAGAGCCCTAAAGCTTCTATAGCGTCAAAGAGGAAAAATTCAAAATCAAAACCAGGTATGTGATATTATTTCTATTTTTCTTTGATAGAGAATGGATACTTTTTATATGTCAAATTCAAAAATCATGAATGGATATTTTTTATTTGGCACTACATGTTTATTTACAGATGAAGCTGATGTACAATTATGGTGGGTATTTGATGTGCGGGCGCACTGCATAGTATGCAGGGGTAATATACGTGTATTTGAGGATTTAGATTCAGATAAAATTGGATATTTTGATCTTCTTGATTGGGCAAAAGAGTGAAGATTATCTTCCTGTTTCTGAGATATATTATGTAAAATCTAGATGTGACTTGGGTAAAGGGTTAAGAAGAATATACCATACGGTGATAAAGAGACACTTGAAATGGTGAGATTTGGAGAAGAAAGTGATAATAAGAGTATGTGTTTGTATGTGGTGCACGAGACTCGCTCCGCCTATTTCAAACCAAAAGAGCAGAGAAGTTAAGCTTGCCGCAAAAAAATTTGAAACGAGAAGCCTTAGAAACTTTCAAACTATTTTTACATTCACTCCATCTCTTTTTATCGAAGAAGAGGAAGTGCTCCAGTCTACAGATCTTGATAATTCTGGTGATGATTCAACTAAGGGAGACAAAGAGGGGGAGGGACTTGAAGAGGTTTCAAATTTTAGAAAAGGGAAAGGGTTGAGACATCTTTTGAGGATCAGATACTTTGGAGCTCTTCAAAGGGTAAAAACAAAGACGTGGGAGAGATATCCATGATGTGGAGGTGTTATTGGGTGCTGATAGTGACACAGCTGATGAGGAATGTAGGGATGCTAGAAAATTCTTCAATGATTGGCATGATAAAGAAAATGCTAAAGTTGATGGACTTGTTAATCAAATAATACAGACTCCAAATCATACCACAATAGCTGATATTATTAAAGATGGGAATCATATATCAGAGTATGAAGAATCAGATGATTATGTTGACACTCCAAGAGAAAGTGAGGAAGATGACATTCGTGGGAAGAAAAGAAAAAAATCTGTACCAATCTTTAATTCACGCACTCACTTTTCGAAATTAGTGTGGCAGCCAGGAATGACATTCCCGGCCTAACAGGAAATTATTCAGGGAAGCAGTAAAAAGGTATGGTATATTTCAAGAGAGAAACCTAAAGTTTAATGTTAGCAACAATAAAGAAACGAGAGGTTAGGTGCAAAGTGTATTCAAGGTTGTCCATTTGAAATTATGGGATCTTGGCATTCTAGAGCAGTGTCGTATATATTGAAAAAAGTGACAGGCACACATACTTGTCATTAGGGTTGTTCATCGGTCCAAGACCGGACCGAACCGGACCGACCTGGACTGGATCGAAGACTGAATTAAGTAAATTCAAGGACAGAAGATCGGACATAAATATCTTCAGGTTTGGACCGGACCGAACCAAAATGTTTATGACCGAACCGGTCCGGACCGATTGGACCAAAAAAATACTCCCTCCGTCCTATAATGATCTTCCCGGTTCGCAAAACGAAGAAAAATCCCAAATTTTTTCAATCTATTTTATTTAAATATTTGTATAGAAATAAAAAATAAAACATACATATTTAAAAACTACATCAAAAGTTCAACAAAACAAGTGGTGACAAGAATATTTTATTTTATCATATAGGCCATGAAAAAACACAAATAAATATAAATTCCCGTGAAGTTGGAATAGTGCTCTGTGAAGATCATTATAGGACGGAGGGAGTACATATTTTTTTAAATTATTTTGATCAATTAAATATATTTTAGACTTTTTACTTTGTACCATTCAAATATAAAATGAATAAAAAAAATGGGCAACTTTAAAATGGATACACAATATGAACTACTCCTATGTAGAACCATAGAAATAAATATGAAACGTTTTTTTAGATTTTTTTTAAAAATTGCTTAATAAAAAACCTTTTTAAATAAATAAATTAAAATATCTATTAAAATAGAACATCAAAGTGTAATACGGAACTTAAAAAGTAAAGTTTTAGTATTCAGGTCTTTTAGGTCGAGTAGGGTCATTAGGTCCATTCTGTCCAACTGGTCCGGACCTAAATCATTTCGAGTTTGGACCGGACCGGACCAAAACCCAAATGCCTAAATTTTTTGGACCGAAGACCGATCCAAAATCCATTCGGTTCGGGTTCGGTCTGGACCTAACGGTCCGGTTCGGTCGGTTTTTTCGGTCTGCACCTAAATGTGAACAGCCCTACTTGTCATAGAGACATGAAGAATAATAGTCAACTTGCTTCCCGTTGGATAGCTAAAGAGTTTTTGGATGTTTTTTAGGCCAAACCGCATTGGCCTGTGAAAAACATTCAAGATGTTGTAAAGGAGAAACACTAACAGAAGTTACCTATTTATATGGCGTCTTTACATGTCTAGCCCAAATACAGTCCTTAAACTTGTAATGAGAAATATTATTGAAAGAGAAGGCATACAGAGTGTTCAAGTGGGTGCTCCTGAATTTAGAAGACTATTTGTTTGTTTTGAGGCACTGATGAAAGGGTTCTTAGGTGGTTGTAGAAAAGTGATATGCTTTGATGATTGTTTCTTAAAGACATTTTCAAGAGATGCTAATGATCAGATGTTTCCTATAGCTTGGGTTGTGGTTGAGGGGGGAAAACAATGAGTCTTAGAGCTAGTTCATGAAGAAGTTTAAAAAGTGCGTGGCATTATGTTCGCAAGAGTGTGTTTACTTTAGGCTAAACTCCACCATTGGTCCTTCAACTTTATCAGTTGTGCACGATTGATCCTTCAAGTTTCAAAAGTCCATAAATAGTCCTTCAACTTTATGAGTTCTGCACCATTGGTCCTTCAAGTTTCAAAAGTCCATAAGTAGCCCTTCAGGTACACGTCAGCCCTCCATAAGAAATCCATAAGAAATCCTTTTGACAGTAAATATTTAAACGAAATACTAGTTTCATATAATACGAGTAAATTTCACTAGGTACGACTACTCCGTATTAGCTTTTAACATTTACTATCAAAAAGACCTCATCTGGAGGGCTGACGTGTACTTGAAGGATTATTTATGCACTTTTAAAACTTGAAGGACCAATCGTGCATAACTCATAAAGTTGAAGGACTATTTATGGACTTTTAAAACTTGAAGGACCAATCGTGCACAATTGATAAAGTTGAAGGACTAATGGTGGAGTTTAGTCGTTTACTTTAATAATATATAATTTGTTTTGCATTTTAGGGTTTGCTAAAGGCTGTTGCTGAAGTTTTTCCTAAAGGAGAACATAGAAATTGTGCTAGACACATCTATGCTAATTGGCGCAAGTCATTCAAGGGTGATGACTTGAAGGCTATATTTTAGAAGTCTGCAAGGGCATATTCTAAGGCTGATTTTAATGCTAGTGATTTTCTCAAAGCTAATCCCAATACATTTTGCAGGTGCTTTGCCAATTGCCAATACCGTACTAGAACCAAATGTGATGTCATTGTTAATAATATGGCTGAAGACATATCCAAAGAACTCTGATTTTGTGATTGAGTCAGGTGCAATGTGTAATTTGGAACCTTGGCTCGCAATTATTAATTTAGTTATTTAATTATTTTATATTTAATTGATAAAATTACAAGAATGTTGGATGTTGTTTTAAAGGATTCTACAACGTTTGTTTAATTAGCTGCGATGAGATTGTCTTTTAAATGACGATGAAATGTTTTTAAATGTTGAATCTTTATCGAAGTGTTTGTTTAATTATCCTAATTCATTTCTTTGATTCACGCGGGTTGTGGTGTTACGTTTGTAATAATCTCCAACTTCAATTGATTTTTCAAAAATAATCTCACTTTTCAATGTTACATTTTTTTTTGAAAAAAAGTCTTATTTTATGCGAATAAATGAAAGGTTGGATAGTTTGAAATAATTTTAATTTTTTAAATTGTTTTAAAGTTTAAGATTTGACTTTATGTTTTCTTAAACATAATGCTTCACTCTTTCCAAATATTTTTATAGATATTTGTGTCAATCTTTTAGGGATATAACAACTCACAATTTTTGTGTTGTTGTTTTGGGAAAAAAATAGTACGTAGTAATTGATTATGGGGAAAACATTTGTACTTTCGTTTGAGGGAAAAATTAATACTGGATAATTTTATTTTGCAAAAAAGATTACTACTAGCAAAGTAATTTCTAGTTCTTCATTTTGGAAAACATATCTTGCAAAAATAGTTTTAGTACATAAAATTGCAAGGATTGACGGAAAAATATTTTAGAATGCCACTTTTGGAAAAAATAATATTGTACGCAGAATAGAAAACATTTGCTATTTTGTCAAAAAATTCAGTTTCATTTTTGAGAGAGAACTGTTTTTCTTATAATTCATATAGGAAAATCATGAAACAATTTTAAAAACGTTGTGAAATTGATACTGTATTTTTTACATTCTGGGAAATAATTAGATTGAACTATCAAAAAAAATTGTGCTACAATTTTTTTTACAATCTTTTCTCTAAATCAAAGCTAATTTTTTTGACGACTCACTGTAATTTTTTTTTCTCAATACAATATTACAAATTATATTTATGCCATTACTCTTTTTCCTAAGATGACACTACAAAAAAAAGTTGTGAGCCAATATATTTTTAAAAGACTGGCACACATATTTTTGAAAAGAGCATTCTTTTATATATTTAGAAACATTTTTTTAAAATTTAAAAACTTAAGAAAGAAATGAAAAAAAATTATCTCAGATTTTCACCTTTCAATTCTTTGCATAAATTAAAGAATTGTTTTTTAAAAAAATGTTAGGTTACCATTATATATGTAACGACGATCCAAAACTCGCATATACACGAAAAGATGAAAATATATTCAACATTGAAAAGTTGGATTATTTTTTAAATAACGTGTAAAGTTGATATTATTTCAAATAAATTTTCCTATTAACTACTATAACATTACTACTTTGAGAATAATACATGCTAAAAATATTAGTTGATACATTTTCTTTTGGGAAAATTACCTAAATAGATTTAAAACATAATGACTTTGTTTAAATAGTATTATATGTGTTTTTTCCCCTAGTAGTATTTTTAGTCATTATCCATTAGTCATTATTCAAGTAAATATTCGTCATCACTGATCATTATTTGTCATTTTGAATATTATTAAGTGTTATTTAGAAAATATAATAATTTAAGTGCTATTTAAAAAAATAACTTAAGTTTTAGTGTTATTTAGTGTTAATATTTCTTTTTTTTGTTGGGTATTGAAGTCCAAAAAATGGAGACCAGTACCAATAGTTGTCTCCTTAATACGCGTATTATACTTAGGTACTGATAATACTCCTATTATACTTGTCAGTACAAATTTATACACGTTTTTTTCCCGATTCTCTGCCTAAACCTTTTCCGATTTCCCAAGGCCAAAATAGATCAGAGAATCCGCCGCTGTCCAAAATAGGAGCCACCGGGTAACTAGGGACGTATTTCCGGATTCCAATTCCTCGTCCCCTCTCTCTATCGAGTATCGGCTGCAGGAGTTCCGGCAAACCAGCAATCAATTCGCCCAGTCCTCCTCCTTTAGTTCCTCGTCGGTGGAGTCAGGACCCAGCAGGCCAGCACAACAGCAATCCCGACGGCAGTGCTCTGCCGTAGCCACTAGCGGTAAGTCCCAATTCCCAAACCTAATTTCATAATTTTTATCATTTAATTTCTTTTTTTGATTTGAGTATGAAGTTTCAATTCTCAACTCTCAAATCTCAATTGTATAGTTTCAAATTGCATTCTCCACTCAGCATTTGGTTGATTTCATAGTTCAAACTCAATTACTCAAGTGATTGCTTCATCCATAATAAGTTGTAGTAGTAATGGTAAAGAGAGGAAATAGGAAAAAAAACAGATCAGATCAAAGAAAATTAGAGAGGAAAGATTAGACTTGTGGTTAATGGAGTATTGCTAGGTTATTACTGACCAGATAAAACAAAGAAGCACACTCTCAGGATTGTGTCTGTAAGGGGCTAAGCCGCTAAGGGGTGATGATGAGAGATGACTACGGTTCATTGTCTAAAAAGGCCAAAAACAATGATGATGATGATGTTTTTGCTGAATTTGGTATTTTAGAATAATTTTAATAATTTTTTAGCTAGTGTAAGACTTTATGTTATGGATGATGTGGACTATTTTTCATTTCGAATATTTGCTTGATTAAGACATTTTTTTAGCATGAAAATTGTATGAATGTGCTTTACTTTTTTGGATTTATTTCAATTTAAAGAGAGATTGTTGTTTTTTATTCACTTTATTATTTTTTTGTGAACAAATATGTTCATATTATAAGACGTATTTTATATTTAGGAAACGTTTAATACACGTATGTATGCGTATACGTATTTTGTACGTTTGAAACATATAGTAAGACGTATTTTATAAATTTTTAATGTATTATACACGTATGTACGTATTTCCGCATTATACTTTTGCCGTATATTACTAACTATGGTACCAAATAGCGTATATATTAAAGTCCAATTGCTTTTGGCAACCTTGGAGAAGAGAATTGAGACTAGGAGAGAAGAAGAAAGGTGGTCAAGGCAGATCGGAGTTAGGAGACCAATCTGGAAATTCAACTGCTCCTTCAGTCCATCGACTGATTTCTTTTTTCCGCTCCTTCTTTCCCATATCAAATACAGAAGCGTCAGATCTTCAGTCCATCGGCTATTGTATCTCCTTCGCATCCCGCCGTCTCTCTTCGCACAAGGCATGTATTTTCTTCTCTCTCTTTTCTTGATTCATCTTCTTGTTCTTTTTCACTAATTTTACAATATTTTGTAAAATTCTCTCAATCCGAAACATTCTATCACCTGCTTCAATTTTTTGACAAATTTTCTGGTTAATTTTGTTGAATCGGAAAGATATGTCATTTAAAAAAAATTGGTTAAATTTGTTCAATCAAGAAGAGGGGACTTAAAATTAATAATATTCACGAAGTGGAAGATTACATTCCAAAAAGAATGCATCTTTTCCAATTCTTTATGAAATTGTGCTGGGTTTAATTTTCTTTAAAGCTGTGCATCTTTTCCAATTCAAAATGTTATGGCGTTCATTTTTTTAAAGAATGCATCTTTTCCCATTATTTATGCGTTTTTTTTAAGAATGCATCTTTTCCCATTAAAGCTGTGCATCTTATCCAATTAATTTTTTTGCTCTTTTGCGTTCAACCTATGTTTGTGCTGTGACATTTTCTGAAAACCTTTGAAAATTGAAACCTAGATTCTTAGATTAAACTCACTTCCAATTATTTGGTGTGTTTGGCGATGCTGTTTGACTTGTTTCTAAGAGTTAAAATTGACCATAGTTAAAAAGAGTAGTTGAGCCTGATTACTTGATTTGATTGACAGGTTGTGGTGCAACTATTTGCCTAAGGATTTGCTGGCCAAGGACTCTTTTGCATCTGTGGAGGTTATATTGGGTTAGCTTGGGTTAGCTTGATTTGATCAGATTGAGAAAGAAGACTAACGAGCCATGGGTGAAAGAAAGGTTTTGAACAAATATTATCCGCCGGATTTTGATCCGGCAAAGATTCCGCGCAGGAAGCAGCCAAAGAATCAGCAGATGACGGTTAGAATGATGCTCCCAATGAGCGTTAGGTGCAGTACTTGTGGGAATTACATATACAAGGGCACCAAATTCAACTCACGCAAAGAAGACGCCGTTGGCGAGAACTATTTGGGCATACAAATATTCAGGTTCTACTTCAAGTGCACAAAGTGCTCTGCCGAAATTGCGTACAAGACAGACCCAAAGAATTCTGATTATGTGGTTGAGTCAGGTGCAACGAGAAATTTCGAACCTTGGCGCGGCCAGGATGAGGAAATTGAGAAAGAGAAACACAAGAGGGAGGCCGAAGAGATGGGCGACGCGATGAAGTCATTGGAAAATAGGACCTTGGATTCGAAGAGAGAGATGGATATTCTTGCTGCTTTGGATGAAATGAAATCAATGAAGTCTAGACATGCTACTGTGAGTGTGGATGCAATGCTTGAGGCACTGAGACACTCTACTGAGGAAAAGGAGAGGAAAATGATGGAAGAAGAGGAAGCTCTTATTAAATCCTTATTCAAAGGGGAGCGAGAGAAGTTCATAAAAAGAATCCGTGAAGAAGAAGATGATGATGATGACGACGATGACGATTTAGATATAGTTGCAAATACAAGTGGAGAATCATCAAGCAATTTTTTTAAGAGGAGAAAGCTGTCTGAACTTGAAAGTAGCCCTACAGATGTCCTTGCAAAGCCCAATGCCTCCTCTGACGCCTCCTCCATTGACAAAGACAAAGCAATGAGGAAAGCGGATCAAAGTAATGAGAAAGTCATTTTCAAATCATCATCAATCAAAGTGGCTGTTGTGAAGAAGCAATATTTGGATAGTAGCACGAAGAACAGTGTCGGAGAAAAGAAGCAGGAGGTCACAGTGACCACCAATACCAATCCAGAGGATGAGAAGCAGAAGGAAGACGAGCCCGCGAGCTTGAAAAGCAATGGATTACTGTCATTGTGCCAACAGTATGAAAGTGACGATGATGATTAGTAGTCGTTAGTACAAGTTAAAATAACCTCCAAACTTGTGTTTGAGTCCGTTTTGGGTGTTTTTTCGATTCGATGAGTCTGATGGTATAAGCTTTCTTGTTCACTTGGAGTCTTATTTCATATGGTAAGTTGTTTTGTATGAAAAGTTTAAGCAGAAATAGCTTGAGTATTTTTCTGAACTTAAAACAAGTAATGCTCTCTTTTTGAGAATGACATTTACTTCTACTACTCATTATTGTCACGGCATTGCCTAGGCTGCCGGACGCATTGGAGCTCTTGCCACTTTGCCAGATTTCGACATGTAGTGTATGTCGCGTTAGGGATGCTTGTGCGTCCTGCGCGTTAGTCTAAAAATTCCGGTCTGGACTGGTTTAACCCCAGTTAGATCCGGTTTTAGACTGGAAAATCGGGCATTTTCTTTTTACTTTTTCTTGGATTATTTCAATTTGATTTTTATGACCTAGCTTTATTCAAGCTTACTTTTAGTTTTTGTTGATTTTGTTTTAAGAAATAAGAAGAATATATATTGTTATAAAAACAATGTCAGTGTCCGAGTAGGACGCGTTTGGGTATTAAAGAACCAGATTGGGCATGACAGAACAAAATGACCACTTTTGAATGCTTTGAGGGAGTAGACTATAAACCATATTTGACAACCACAACAGGCTACATTGCAATAAAAAAAATTATGAACATTTGATGGATCAAAATTCCCCTTCATTCCTCTCATAGTGACAAAATTTTATATATTCAAAAAAAAAAAAAGACTAGCCATGATGATGATGAATAAATCGTTCAATTTTCTTGATGGTGCACTTGAGCTCCTTTTGAATGTTCAACCTTGAAGGTGACAACACAATGTCTTTCCAAAATGAACCTCTCTGGTATGCTGGGTGAGGGTGGTTATACAGGCTGCATATCGAGTCCGCATCCTCGTTCAATCTCCCTACCACTTTCAACACATTTATCTCATCTGGATCAACCAGTAAAGTCTTGTCCCTGTCCTTCCACCCTATCAACTTGACTCACAAAAATTCAAGTTCCCTTAGATTTTATATATATGTATATGTATGTATATGTGTGTGCATGCATGTGTACTACGGAGTATACATCAACATTGCAGTGAATATGAGAGATAAGTATATAGAGGGAGATTGTCGCATAAATATAGGGGTGTATCCCGGTAAAATGAAATTCTGCATGAAGCATACATGTTTAATTCCCCAAACTACACAACTTTATAAACTGCAACTGCCTAAAAATTGGAATGAGGAGGGTAAAGAGTACAAGAAGGTACATGGTACGTACTTTGGGAGGGCCTTCAAGAGCATTTGTGCTGTAAAGTCTGGCATTATCTACTAAGTTGCAGTATGTTGTAAATGCATTTGCAAACCTCTTGTGAGACTTCAGCTGTGAATTTACTCTCACAGCTCTTCTACACATGATAGCTCTCCTGTTTAAATCACACCCCAAGGAAAACCGATCATCATTTGAATCACTTCATAGAACAGCAAATCTGATCTAAATGTTGGTTCTTTTAATACCTGATTCCTCGAATAACAGCTAAATAAGCATCACAGACAACTCCTACCAATTCTATTCTGTAAGCCCTTCTCTTTTTAACCCCATCAACAGGGTCGTTGGGCTCTTCGTCAATCCTTTCCCAGTAATTCTCAGTCACAGTTCCGTCATCTTCAACTCTGTAGCCAGCTCCCATCCTATAACGGTACCGGTGAACATTTCTAGCCATTGTTATTGTCTGTACCACAAACGGTATCCAAGAAAGTGTGCCATCCATGATCACATCCCGTCCTTCATTCAGTGCAGTTACAAGCAGAGATGATGCTGCATCCGTTGATGATTGATGCACCTACAAAATACAGTCGACGAGTGCGAGGAATACTTTAAAAGCCAAAGGTGGAGAGATGCTAATCCACAAAAAACATTAAAGAAAGTAAAGTTTTATTAAGCTAGATTAAACAATCCTTTTTCTTATGTTCGCTCAGAACAAGAATACCTAGACAAGGTTCTCTCAACCTAATTTTTTCAAATCTTAATTTTTTTCCCCAGTAATGTCAGTAGAATCTCGAAAGGTTTTATGAAACTCAAAACTTTAAAAAAAGTTCAGTAAAATTGAGAATCTTTTTAGGAAAAAATAGACTTGTAAACTAAATAAAACTACGGAGTCTATGAGAATGATAATAATAATTCCTAGTATTATAATATTATGTATTACAAGTACAAAATTTAGTATTATTTTCCATCATCTTCAGTGGAGCCAAAGTTCACTATTTTTTGGCTTTGGGGTGATAAAATAAAGCACAATGGATCTCTAAACTGTTTGCACTTCTTTAATTAATGAAGTAGCAGTTAGTCAATCAATGCAACTTTCGATGCTCAGCCGGGGGTTTCTTTGGAAACAGGCTCTGCACTTTCGAGAAGGGGTAAGGTCTACATACACACACCCTCCCTAGACCCTACTCTTGTGGGATTCAACTGGGTTGTTGTTGTACAAAATTTATAATTATTGCTACTAGTAATATTCCATACTTTCATTATTATTAGAACTGGTGCCAAGCCCTAAAAATAATAGTGCCAACAGTGCAACACACTTCGAATTTAAAATTATAAATTTTGAGAGTGAATACTATTTTACTTTGATTATAGCAAAATAACACCTAAAAATATTTTGTGCCAAAACATTAAAGTGCATGTTTATCAATTTTGCTCAATGAAAGTAAAGATCACACCATGTATGAGTTCTAAGTTTAACAAAATTTCAAATAGAGCTTTTAATTCAATTGAGCACTTCTTTTTGTTGGCCAAATGTATTTTTAACTTGTACAAAGTTACAGTAACTAACAATTTACGGACTACGGAGTACAATTCTATTTGATCTTTAAAAAAGAGCTCATCCGACATATTTTGAAAGAGAATTATTTGAAAATTATAATAAAGCCCACTTACCAATCTCTTTCAAATTACATTGGAAGAGATATACATCTAAAAGCTCTTGTCATATATTTTACTCTTTTCTACAGAAATGAAAAATGAATAACACTATAGAATTCAATCAACTTTTATTGTTCAGAATGTGTGTTGGTTACATGTACTTGAACTGAGATATCAATTGTACAAAGAGACTTTAATGTGGAAGAAAGATCACATACTAGATTGTTTGACAATGCAAAGATATTGAAATGCAAGATATTCAGACCGGAAATGCATACTAGATTGTTCTTGTGTACACATCCGAAAATTAAAAATTCAAATGAATTTTTAACACAACAATTTGTCCAAAATTAAAAATTTTCAAGCTGACGACCTCACTCAGGGGCTCTGCCACTTGGACTTGCCTCCAAAGGCGCTGCTCCCTTGGAACCCCCGTTTAATAATTAGGGGACAAATGAGGCTATTATCATAATAAACTCAACGAAGTATGCACTCCGCACTACCGGACTTTGATGATTATTATGATTGCATAGGTCAAATAGTCACTCCAATTACACTAAATTACTAAAACATATAACAGGACTGAGATTGGTTGAGTGAGAGATAGATGTGTACCAATTCTGCTGTTTGAAGCATGTCATGATGGCCCCTGGAACTAAGAGCTTTGTAGATCACATCGGTTTCTTTGAAGGCATCTGCCTCTATAATAACAGCATTCCCAGCTGCTCCAACCCAGAAAGGTCTACAACCAACAAACACGCACCTAAGATAAGATGTATGCAGACTTTACTTCTATGCAATGAGTAGGGAGGTTTTTTCATTTTTAAAGTGTCACTGCTTTCTTTAATAGTCCATAATATATACTCTACAATTTATGTCAAAAAGTGTATTGCAATCTTATTAGACTTGTAAAGTATCATAACCAACAGATTTGCACAACAAATTAGACCTACTAAATATTACAGACAACAATAACAACAAAATTAGGATAATAATAATAATGAAAATAATGATGATGAAATAATAATAGTAATAATGATGATGATGATGATCACGAAGATGATGATGATAATAACAAGGGTGAATTTCCAAAAACGTCTCTTATAAAAATGAGGGTTTCCACATATAGTCCAGTTTGCAAAAGTATTATATTATGGTCCTCTATATTTAACTATTCCCAAAGAAGTCATTTGAGCACATATTGGTGGTCCTCTATATTTGGAGACTATTCCACGATAAGTGTTCAAAAGGACTTTCTTGGAATAATTCTCAAATATAGCATATCATGGGTATAGTACTCTCATAAAGTGGACTGTATGTACAACCTCTCATGTTATAAAGGACATTTTTGGGAATTCACTATAATAACAATAGAAACATCATGTCAGCTGCCAAAACTTGTTCACAATAGACACTTTATGTGCCAAAAAGAAAACAAGAGAGAGTTACATTGTATTACTATTTTTAGTATTAAAAAGGCTTTTTTTAGACAGATGTAGTATGATTTTGCATTGAAAAGAGAGGCCTTACTCTTTTAGGATGTCCTTGAGCACAGTGCTTTTCCCTGCTCCCATGCCACCACCCATGAAGAGAAGCACAGGGCTCCTGTCCTTGTGAGCCATAGGAACCATCACATCTGTGCATTGCGAATCGTCAGCACCAACAAGTCCTATGGCTTTCATCTCCTCAACTAAGGTTGTAAAGACTCTTGCAACCTTTAGATTCTTGGTCACCCTCTCAAATCTCTGCTCTCTTTAGATATTTATATATATCCCATAAAAATGAAATATCTAGTCATCAAAAAATTAAAATAACATCTGTCCATTTAAATTGGGAATCACCCAAAGTTTCTTTCATTTACAGAAGACTATAACAATTATGGAATCAAAATATATTTAGAAGATTAAAAAAAAGCTTATGCATTAGCTTCCAGAGTAGAATTTTACTATGGTAAGTGGTGATACTATGAAATTAATTGGCATTCTCTGAAATCCTAGTAACATTTGAGCAGTTTTTACTCTAAGTTTAAACCGCAGGCTTATCATCTTGGAAAAATTGATACTTATAATCTCATGTTTGAGCGATCAAACAAAAAAAATCCCAGGATGCACTTTTGGCATAAATTATCCCAAGTTGTAATGTGTTCACATCAATAATGCCAACCGTAACTCCATTAGAGTTAACCAAAATTGAATAAACATATTTTAACCATAAAACTTTTGACTCGGGTATTGTACTCAGGCTAGATATCAAAGTGGCATCCTAAAGCTTATTTGGATAACTCTGGAGTATAAGATAAAACTAATATCCATAGGAGCTAAAAAAGCTAAAAGTTTATACCACTATTACAAGAGCTAAAAGTCCAATATATTTCTTTTTTTTCTTTTCACGTTTTTTTAATTGTCCTAAAATGGACTTCCCATCAGCATTTTGGGAAAGCTTTATATTTTCCACATTATTTCTCACACTTCTAAATTAACCACAACCACACAGTTTCACTTTCTTAATATGAGTGCCAAGTTGACTTGGGTAAATATTAAGAGAGTGAAATACGGAGTAATATTGTTCTAGGAAAAAATACCCAAAATGATAACAGGAAAATTATTTTAGGACGAATGGAGTATAAAATTATTTTTAAATTTTTAAAGACACTTGAATTACGACCCGAGCCAAAAGTTATGTCTAAAATATGTTTTCCTTTTCACTTCTGGCCACACATAATGAAACCTACCAGATATGGATGGATTTATAACAGGGTTATGGACTTATGGTGAAAGCTAATGGGGTGAACCAGATTACTACGTATAACCTGGGATTATGCATGTTAGATGTGCATTTTGTGTTAATTGTTGTTCGGTCATTCAAACGACGGATAATTTGTAACAATTTTTCCTTCTTTAAAATCATTGTAAAATTGGAACAGTTATTCTTTTTTTCAAAGTGTACGCCTATCATCTCGGCACAAAAAAGAATTAATGAATATTGAATTAGAGACACCAACACACATACCTAGTAGCTGCCATGACAATGTTCTTCAGCTTCTTCTTTGGCTCAGTATGATCAGCAGCATTCAAAACCTAGAAATAAATTGGAACAAATAGCTAGGGGCGATCATATTTCACTAAGAAAGACTCAGATATGATTTAGCTGTTCACTTTTCCTTTTTTTAGATGTACAGAAATTAATTGTCCACTTACCTTATTTGGTAAACTAATGATTGGGAAATGGGAATCGCCTTATTAAGTGTGTTTCCAACAATGGAGGACAAGCCAACCAATTACAATGCCTTTTTTTGTCAATTCACCACAATCTTTAAATTTGAGAGGTTGGGACAAGTGAACAACTAAATCCAATGGAGGATGTACTTAATGACAATCTCTGATTCTTAATAAATCTAATGTTTTGACCAAGTTTTTGGAACTCATTTACCTGACTGATCATATTAGAAGCTTGGCTCCAATGAAATGCGAAGTAACTAAGGATCAATCTTTCAAGCTCTTCCACAAGCTTTATGAAGAGAGAATCCGCACCCGCTTCAGTGGCAAAGAAATTATATATTTCTTCCTCACATCCTTCTGATTTTCTTATATAATCAGAAGCTAATTTACATAAGGTTGGGCATTCTCTCTTGTCTGCAAATCCCATTTGCCTAGCTGCCACATTCCCACACAACACATCACACACTATTTTGAAACAAATGTTTAAAAACAAATTTGGTAAGAGTCATAGGACATACTCCCCCTGTCCCAAATTAAAGTACCCATTTGTTTTGGGTTTTAGTAATCTAATCTTTTCAACAAAATGTACATAATAAACACAAGGGAGTGGGGCAATACTTGCAATCTATTTGATTTAAATGCACCATTAATGAAGTGATGTGACAACAAAATTAGATGAATTGGTCATATTGTTTTATGTAAGTGCCATATGGGACAAAATACGACCCTTGTTTGTGAATATGGTCTGTCTTTGTTTTGGAATATGATCTATCCTTTTCTCTCCAAGTTTTTCTTCATGTCATTTATGTCTATGTGTTTTTCCTAATATGGCACTTACATAACAAAATATGAATAAATCATAGAATTTGGCTATCACGTCACTTCGTTAGCGATTTAAATAGGCATTAGCTCATTGGTGGTACATTTATATCAAATAATTTGACAGTATGACTAACTTCCTAATATTTATGAAGTACAAATTATGATCTGTGAAAGTATAGTATAGGTTATTGGAATCTAACCCTTTGTTTTATGCACAAGAAATGTGAAACTGTGTGCTTGAGATTTATGCAGATGAGTGAGAACACAATTTATTCCTTAATAAGAAACAGAAAAGTTATTTTAGGGCATTCCAAAAGGAGAATAAGATTTTCATTTTAGGACCAAGGGAACATGATACAGTAAACATGAAAAATTAAATTCCAAAGAAAATTCCAGTTTCATTTTGCTCAATTCTGTGTCCTATAACAAATATCAACAACATCATTACCTGAATGCTAATTAATTCTCTAAAACAAGTTAGCTCTATAAATAGATGTAAGAAAGCTTATACGGAATCCCAAAAAAAAATCATTACAAAAAAGGACTTGAAAGTAAAATAAGAAAATAATGATCCAGATTGATATCTACCATTATTACCTACATATTGAGGAAACCTCTCAAACTTGAGTATCTTCCCCGAATCAGAGAGTTTAATTCTTGGTACAATTTTCAGGTCCCTGATTTCCTTGATACGAAAATGCATGACTGCAGCGAAGATTAATCCCATGGAGGAGGCTACAAGGATCTGGGTACATGTTGGCTTTGTATGGTATTCAGAGGGTGAAGATCCAGCAAGGTATTTGATCAAATGCCCAGAAGAAGATGAAGAACAATGGAGAGGATGGGGAGGGTGTGACGAACCCATGGTGTTTCCCTCGGTGATCATGCACGCATTAATGTGAGAAATTGTTCTTGTGTGTCACCATTTCTTGAAGAATGTTCGAACAAGAACGAACGAGAAAATGGGGATGATGGAAATTGGTAATTCAGATTCAGATGTTTCCTTGGGAATATGGAGAAAATAACGAACGACTGTTGAAGTTGGTTTTTAGATACTCCCTCCTAGGGCTGTAAACGGATAACCGAAAATTCGATTACCGTCCGCATCCGTATCCGTTTATATAGAAAATATCCGCATCCGTTAAAAACGGTTATTATCCGTATCCGATTAAGGATATCCGATTGCTAAACGGATACGGATTTGGTAATCATACATCCGATCCGTTTATAATCCGCTCCGCATTGACATCCGTTTAAATAACCGTTTATCCGTGTATCCGATCCGTTATATATGGTCTTTCCTAATTTTTTATTTTTATATTTTGTTTCTCTATAGATATCTCAAAGTATAAGACATTTTTATATGCGAAATATATGTGTAAACACATAAAAATATGTGTAGACATGTAAAAATATGTGTATATATG